TTGATATATTACTCTATAAACATCGATTGAACGCGGCCAAAATCTGATATAAGAGTGAACAGTGGCTAGCATTAGAATCCAGGACATGTGTTTCGTCCTTTTCGGGACTCATCAGTCACATTTTACCATCAAATATCATTCTATGATAATCTCACTAGATTTGCCTCCAACATTCTGATTTTTTTAATTCTCAGTAGATGAGATTAGAATAAATAATTGACGTTATTTGGATTTGTGATAAAAGTTAACCAGTAAACTAATTTTATGATATACAGATTAAAACCTTAAAATGGGCATCTTAGAATATACATAACCAAAATGATTGATAAAAGTATTGAAGCATTTCAATTTATAATTACTCTTAACCAATAATCACTTAATCAAATTATGTTTTACATTTTCGTTCAAGTGATAAAACGGTTTTACTGCCAACAAACAAAACTACAGCTCACATGATTCGATATAAATCAAGCGTTAAAAAATTAAAAAATGCAGATACTGGAAAACCACTGTATATATAATTACTGTAACTATGCTCCATGTATGTTCACAAAAAAATACAGAAGCCAAATGCAATTCACTATTCACGTGAAATAAACCAGTTTTAGCTACAAAGGGATAGTTATATATGATCATATAACAAAAAGCTCATTTTTGAATTATATCTTCAAGTGACCTTTTTCCACTGTGAATGAATAGTTCATTTCACCTGTAAATGCTTATTATTGTGCACATTTGAAAGTTCAAATTCAATGAAAATATTATTTGGTAGCAATCAAATTAGTGTATCAATTCTGAAAAATATGCTGTTCAAATTTTTTAGGATTTATTGATTTAGGTTGGTATTCACCATATGTTGACATCAAATGGAGAAACATTGGAAACCTGGAGGCACTAGACCACAAAATAGTGGTCTGCGACGCATGACCCTGCCCTCTAGGCATTGAATCCCAGACCTTCGAGTTCTGAAGTCAGCACGTTTCTATTGAACCACTGGGTCGAAATTCTGTTTCATCAAAAAAATGAAGTCTACTCAATAAACATATGAACACTTGTACAGCAGGCAATGAGCAGCATCTATTGTATGAGGACTGTTATTGATACTGTCTAGTTGCCCAGATCTCGGTGGGTAGAGCGAGGTTCAAACGCGTGATGCATCGATTAAAATTCAAAAGTCTAAACTACTGAGTACAACTACACCTACATCACATCAGCAACAGCCTGAATGATGAGAGCTTCATTCAAGGTTTTTCTTTGTTATCCAACATTTAAAGTTATAGAATGTGTTATACTTTCAAGAAATTGACCATTTTTGTCTTCTAACGCAGGCTGTTCCACAACTCATTTCACCTATGACATCTTAGTGTACTTTCAATCATAAAAATGGGAACCACACTTCGGTCTTAGTCATTTCAGATGGCAAATAAACAAATAATTATTAATGGGCAGCTTGTAACACACTTATTGTACAAACTACAAAAATCCTCCGTAAATAAGGAATGATGAACAAGGAATGTGAGTAAGGTATGTTGAAACATGAAGGTTTTAACCTGTTATGTCAAGACCAGTCACCGAAGCAAAAAATCATGAAAGATGAACAGGAAAATTTTAAACAGAATAAATCAGTCACTTAAAATATAAATAAATTCACTCATATATATATATATATATATATATATATATATATATATATATATATATATACCTTGGCTATTTTCAGGCCTTTCTAGGTTTGATCTTATATAGAAAGAAAACTAGATCGGATTCAGAGCGACTTATCACGTTAACCTGAAGTCTAGGGAGTTGAACTGAGTAGATACCATTCATTATATCTCTGAATTGAGCTATTAAGCAACCATTGAGTATTAGTAACAATGAAGAAGAACATGCTGACAGTGACAACTCTGATTCATAACACTGGACGCCAAAATCATCCTTCATTTCTGAGGTATTCATCGAAACTAAACATTACTATTGTTACAGTTTAAATTACTTTGTGTAACAGTTCAAGAGTGATTGTCTCCTCAAAACACTTGAAATTCAGTAGCTCCAATTCAACGATTTCCCAGACAGAATATCAGTATGGTAAGTTCAATCAGTACTATATCTCGGCAACCATGTAGTTAGAAGTCCTAATTATCAGAAACACCTGATATTACAGTAAATATTAATAATAAAGCATTCATTATGAGTAAATGATTTTCTACACAAACCTAAGTTTAAGTTCATGACAAAAAAGTAGACCCGTGGCTCAGTGATTTAAGGAGATGACCATCACCCGACGGATCATGGCCTCGAGCCCTGCTCAATCTACAGAAGTTTGGGCATCCAGGTAGTATCACTAGTCGTCACACAATAGGTATGGCTCACTGCCTACTGCACGGATGTGCACAAGGTGGCTGAGTGCATTTCGTTCGTCTGTTTCCATAACAATAGAGAATATATACACTTTCTGGGGAAATTGAATAAGATTGCTTGAAGAAAGATGACTATCGTGACTCGGTAGTTTAGTAGATAAGGCTCTGACATTCAGTGTGATACATGCTGGTTTCCTGTCTCAATGGGAATATCATCACTCACTGAGATCCAGGCGTATCCAGTAGATGAGTTTCAAATAGGATGGAAATCCCGTCCTAGATTCCCACTGCAAGAGTCAACACCAACAAAATTATGAATACGATTGCATTAAAAAAAACATTCAAGTATTACAGTCAGTGCCAGCGCTATCCATGCAGAGATGAGATGATAGAGTTTCAACAGGACACACGTCTCACTAAAAATCAGTAAAGTAGGTTACATAATTTTCTAAACGTCTATAACTACTACATACTACCAAGTTCATGAGACAATTACACCTGAGTGACACAACATCAATTTTACCTTATTTAAGCGAACAAAATTCAGATGACTGTAATGTTTTTCTTATCAAAACGTGATTACTTTCAAAAGTCATTTTGATAATAGTTGGTATGAAAGTATTTTTGTTGGAAAATGTAGTCAGAATATGAGGAAACTTGTATAGATGACACATGATTGTGAAAAGGTTATCAAAAGTTCACAGAAATCTATCTCAACTACGCAGAAGAAATTGTATGAGATTAAAAAGGTGAACGGATTAATATAGAAATGCTAGTAAGTAAGAATTTGACAAAAATAAAAGAGCTAACTAACAAAATATGCTGTTCAATGTTTCAATCATTTTGCATCACATCAGCTATTATTATTATTATTATTATTATTATTATTATTATTATTATTATTATTATTATTATTATTCATGATGTCAGGTTTCCATTTTTGAACAAAAATATTTCTTTGCTGATTAAACCGAGTTGATCGGTCACTTTTGGCCTCCACATAGGAGCCTATATGACAATCCAATCAACAACGGAGATCTGCAACTTATAACATCAAACACTATATAATACCTGTCGTATAAAGAGTGGCCACAGTGACCTAGTGGATAATGCTCTGACGTTTTAAGCGATTGGTTTAGGATTCGAGTTATATGCGGAATAACGTCACACACTGAGAGGCAAGTACATCTAGCTGGCGAGTTCCGAGTAGGATGAAACGCGCATCTTAGATGTCACTGCTAGCCATTATCCATCAATAATATCGAAAATATTTTCACTGCTGAAATGAAGATTTTGCCCCAATTGAGGTTAACAACTTAAAAGACAACATCGTACAATCCTGCAAGGATTTTCTCTAGTCATTCGCAGTTTCGTTACTATGTCTTCTAGTTGATAAATTACCATAAAAGTATCTGGCTTACTTATAGGACGGGTACACATTGATCTCCAAGACTCATAGATAGCATGTTAAAATTGGATCGTTGGGCCAGAACTCAGTGCTTGGCATTTACCAGATCCAAGCAGTTAAAGCTGAACAGCTAACCTTAACAAATATTTTCTATGCGCTTACTTCCTTACTCCAAAGCTGAATGGACTAATAAGTCAAGATATTTATTACCAATACATTTAGAAATTCGTTTAAAATAAGCCACTGGCCTGCTACTTATTACTGACCAAGCAAGTGGTCAGAAAGAACTTGATAACAAAATGACACACTATAAGGAGGTATCCAAATCCAAATAACCAGAAATGACTATTTTATCCTGACTACGAAAATTCTGACCACTGAACTGAGAGATGGAAAACAGAATTTCAAATTTGAATTAGAAAAAGGTTTTACGCAGTTTTTCGAAAAAGACTCCATGCATTTTGTTCCCTTTAGAAGTTTGAGTATAAATGAAGAACTATTCGCAGAATAACAGGATATCATTCTATTGTACAGATTCTATTCAGCTGCACACAAACCCTAGGAAAATAATAATAAAGAAGACGAGAATGCAGCTAATATATTTATACATAAAGTTTCGACGTGTTCAATTCAACACTTAGCTATCCAATAATATATATATATATATATATATATATATATATATATAGAGAGAGAGAGAGAGAGAGAGAGAGAGAGAGAGAGAGAAAATAAGGAATATTCCCCATGGACTGACAGCAGCTGAAGAACCAATGAAAATCTGGAAGCTCTAGACAGTTTTCGATTGATTGGCTGTGAGAATAAATACTTGCCTAAATGATGGGATGATGAACGCCCTTTATCGCAAAGTAGGAAAATGTAGACCACTGGATTTAGACTTAGTAATAGGATGACGCTGAACCTGGAAGGCGCGAATTCGATCCCTGGCAAAGTCAAGGGTGCACGCGGCTCAAAAATCGCAAACTAGGTCGAGCAAGCTGTCTAGTACTCAAAGGCTTCCAATGGTTCTTCAAACCGATGTCGCTCCATCGTAAATACTCTTTATTTATCTCCATATTCTATACATATTTGAGTGGAAAGCTAAATCTTGAATTGAACACATTGGTACTTTACATACAGACACGTTCACGGCATTTTTATCTTCTTTATTACAGTATTGCTAGGGGTTTGCACGCAGTTGAAGAGAATTAATGAAGTCACTGAAAAGACTTACTCACCTGTAATAATTGAAAGTGATCTAAGTGTGTTCTTGGGTCAAGTTCAAAAATCAATACATTATTTACACCAGATGAACGCCATCCATAAGTATTTACGCCAAATAAACAAAGAAAGAAAATGAGAAGGAATGTCCCGCGAAACAACCGTATTGCAGGAAGATAATGCTGAGGTAATGGACGTAAAAATATACCTAAAATAAATTAAATTTTGGAAAAAGAAGAAAATTATGATTTATGTTTTGCATTATTAAGAAATGTATCAATACTATGCATTAAATTTCCAGCCAGCTTGAAAACAATAGTGTCACATTGAAATAAGGCAATATTCTTGTGAGTGGTGATTAAAGTGGGATAAAAACCTGGTCAGCAGTCGAGTCTTGTAGCTTTGTTGGTACAGCACCGGGTTAGAGACCTGGCAGTCGCCGGCTCGGATCTCGCTGCAGCCAGAATTTTCATCGTATCATAAATTATCACCCAATATCAACTATACAAGTTTGTCAAATCACGGTTATCTCATAGTCAAAATGATAATCAGTACTCTTGTCATCAAAAATGCAAAACAGAAAGATATTACTTATTTTCCGAACTATTAGGGCGATTTTAAAGGCCACCCTAATAACTGCCAAAATAACCAATCAAGTTGCGGTATTTTGGCTGAGAAGACAATTTTTCGAAGAATAGAGAAACGTGATTGGTTATTTCATCAGTTGCTAAAGTGGCTTATAAAATCGCCCAACTATTAATTTCACTGCATTTGAATTTTATTCCGACTAGTGTATATAAAATATTTTAACCGCAAATAACAAAATACACTATTCCCTTATCAGTGCGTAGTCAACTTAGAAGATAATTAAAGTAATTATTTCTAAAAATGTTAAAATCCCTAATATTATAGAGCGTAAATAACGCTTTGGATTAACAATAATCGAAACTAATCACAATCTTCCAATAGATATAATGAGGCTATAGGTTTCTGTTTTAGGTTTTAGAAATAGTTCCCATATAAAATTGATAGTCAAGAGAGATATAGTAACGTAGAGAAACACGAACAAATATAAATTTAAAGAAGTTTTCATCATGAATTGACATCAGTTGAAAAACCATTGAAAAATCGGGAGCAGTTGATAACTGTGTCAACCTAGTTCTGGACTCTTCAGTAGTGAATACACATGACCGAATCAGGGTTACAGCTCAGAATGATCAAGTATTATGAGGGGCGCATTACTATTCAGCCACAGGGATGAAGTAAATAAGGTTCATTGTTTCCTAGTTATTTTAACTCGCGATAAAGTGCAAACATCATCCAATAACATCGGTAGGCATCCACCTCAGTTACGATGGCTAACCCTACAAGTCACGACAATTCATATTAATTTAATCATCTCAACATACTTTTATAGAACTAGAGAGAGGGAAAGAGAGAGTCTACAGAAACAGGAGTATATTTCGGTAATCATTACGAGAGATGATGAAGGACTAATCAAACTGTACCGAAATTTTTACAGTTGTAAAATGTATTTTTATGGCTTTTGGAAAAATATAAGATAGAAATGTCGAAATAAGTCGTGTTAAGTGCCTAAATATCATGCTACTCAGTCTAACTTGTCGTCTCCTATATTCGAAAATGTATAAATTGCCGCAGACTATGATGAAACTGTACAATCACTGATACTTGAGAGATCAAATTCTTTGAAAAAACATAGAGTGCACCCTTATATTGAGATGAAAAATAACCCCAGAAAAGGTTTTGGTCAGATGCATTTTACATCACTGTGGCATAACTTCTGGAAAATTAACAAGTTAACGATCACTTCTATTTGAGTGATATAGTTAACTGTTATCTGCCTGATAACCAGTAGTGGAATTTAGGACGCGATTCCCATCCTCTTTGGGACTCACCAGCTGGATGTACTAGCACCACAAAGAATAATGTTGTCCCCACTGAGATTCGAACCCAGTACCTATCGTTTCAAACACCAAAGTGTTGTCCACTAGGCCAGTGGGACACAAAAGCCACCTCTTGTGTAACGGGTAGCATTTGTTGCTTGATACTTGTAATCTCTTGTCGGTAAACTGAATCGAATCACCCAATGTCTGATAGTAGACGGGCTCCTACAGTGATGTAGTAGCTTCAATCATGAAATTATTTACATATTTCAATTGGTTTACAAGTTGATGTTCTTAAAATAGAAGAACAGCATAGTCAAATAGTTTTCTCAGCCGAAAATTTCAATATTATTTATATCAACTTACAAGTTAACACGATAACAACAAACTGAGCCAGAAAAATTCCAACGCATAAGCCAAATAGAAATAAACTATGAGGATTATACTAAAAACAGAAAGACGATAGAAAAAATATACACATAAAATGTGCTCACTTTTTTTAATATACTAGGTGCTAAGAATAGTTCACAGGTAAACATATACCTAAGGTTTACGACCAGTGCTGAGCACTTGAGACTTGATGGCTATAAAGATTATCATACGGTGAATAACTTGTGTAAAAATTAAAATTTTTGTATTATATCTTTCATATGCGTTCCCCTAACACAAAAATGTTGTTTCTGCATACGAAGTAAAAGTTACTATAGGTTTTCAGTTGTTCTAAAAAACAACAGAATGAGAACTTTGTTTATTTCAAATAAATCTACGAACAAAGAGCAGTACGAATGTAAGCGTACATATTGGTGACTGTGAATAGATACTTATGTAAGATACGTTTTCATTTGCATCAGAACAGCTGTCTTCCCTTTGTATATGCAAAAACCGTTTTTCAAAATCCCAACAACCAAATGCAAAACGAAGAAACAATACAATCTGGAGGTCATGCGTGCGCATTGCTAAGGAGTCCCATACTAGGACGAAACAGCTGTTCAGTGCTCTTGAGTCTCTAATGCTTCTCCAACTGATGTCAGTCCATGATGAATACCAACCTGAAGTCAATAAATAAATCCCCATAAACCTCCAAATTAAATTCATCTAGTACGCATTGGTAACTAGTTTCGAATGATGATTCCCGAAGTTCTAGTGAGGAGTCGTGATCGGTGAAGCAAACTAAGTAGAACATGAGGACAGTTACTCAACAACGGCATTAGATGGAGAGGGCACTATACTGCAAACTGAAAGAAATAAAAATTAGGGACCAGTGAGTTCTGATCCAGTGGTTCAATGGCAACGTTCTTCCAGCGGAAGCTGAAGGTCCTGGGTTCGATCCCTGCGCTGGTCATGGATGCTCACTGCTGAAAAGTCCCATACTAGGAAAAACGGCTCTCCAGTACCTCCAGGTTTCCGACGTTTCTACAACTGATGTCAGTCCATGATGAATACCAGCCTGAAGAAACAACAGTCTGCGTATGAATATTTCTTAAAGATACTATTAAATCTGGGTTGTATTGTGTTCCCTGAGCTGGGTTGTTTAATCGATTAAACGACGATTAAACAACACAATACAATCAAGACCACCCAATTGAGCTACAAATAGTTTCCACCATTTCATACTATTAAATGCACACGTTATACGTCACTGGAAAGTCTTTTAAGATTGAATGAAGAATACCTAACATTCTTTATAAATTACCAGGGCTAATGAGATATTTACCTGCATTCACATTCATTTTACAGTCTCAAAGCTGTACAATGTGTGAAAACCGCTCAAAAAGGATATAATTAGGGTGGGAACATCAGCTGATAGTATATATATATATATATATATATATATATATATATATATATATATATATATATATATATTACTTTGAAGAAAAGGCTTGCATACATCATCAAGCCAATATACTGGCAAAATCCTAGTGAGATAGAAACAAAATAGATTTCTGAAGTTTCGTGACCTCGTAGAAGTCACTTCTTCAGAGAATAAAACCTGTGCAAGTTATAGCATGTCTAAATAGTAGAAAGAGACAAACCACATAACGTTGTTCATACATGATCATAATAATATAGGAATAAATGTTATCGTTATCACTTATTAGCCCGTGAGTTCAACGTGAAGATGTGAATATGTGTGCACATGCAGATGTATGTGAAGGTGTGAGGAAAATACTATAACTACGATGATAACGATAACATTTACTCCTAGATTATTATTATCAAGTATGAAACAACTTGATCTCATTAGTCTCCATTTCCTATTTAAACATGCCATAACTTGTACAGGCTTTATCCTCTGAAGAAGCGATTTCCACGAAGTCGTGAAAAGTCAGAAATGTATTATATTTCTACCTCATTGGGATTTAACAAATATATTTCCTTTATGATCTATTTGCGTCGACCGAGAAGTAATTTGGAAACTGCTTCAATACTACGGAGTACCGCAAACCTTTATCCGCCTCATTCAACAGCTATATGAAGATGCCACATGCCAAGTAATTCACAATGGGCAGCTCAGTGATGCTTTTGAAGTGAAGACAGGAGTGAAACAAGGCTGCTGCCTACTATCACCCATGATATTCCTGATTGTGGTGGACTGGATCATGCAGCAAACAGTAGGCAGCGAGAAGAGGGGGATACGCTGGCTGGACTGAGGAAAAGAACCTAGAAGACTTGGATTTCGCCGATGACTTGTGCCTAATGTCACATAAACTTGAAGATCTGCAGGCAAAAACTAACAAGTTGATAGGAGAGGCAGGGCAGCGAAGACGGGACTTCAGGTGAATATAGAGAAGACAGAGGTGATGAAGATACCGCACTACCAACAACAACAAACTCCAATCACCGTCAACGGAGAAACTTAAAGGAAATAACCTCCTTCACTTATCTAGGAAGCACTGTTTCAACTACAGGCGGGACGGACGAGAACTTCAAAGTCAGAATCGGAAAAGCAAGACGGGCGTTCATTAGCCTGAAACCAGTGTGGATATCTTCTGCACTCAGCACAAAGCGTGAACAAGATCCGGATTTTCAACACCAACGTCAAGTCAGTGCTTCTGTATGGTTCAGAGACTTAGCGCGTCACGAAAGGGATTTCCAATAAACTACAGATATTCATCAACAGCTGATTACGCTGGCTAGTTACTGAAGATCAGATGGATTGCCAGAAAGAATAAGCAACAAGGAGCTCTGGGAACGAACCAACCAAGAACCTATTGTTGAACAAATGTGCAGGAGGAAGTGGAGATGGATTGGCCATGCACTGAGAAGGCCGACTGAGGACATCACGTGTCAGGCCAGTTGCTCGAGTGGAATCCGCATGGGAAGCGACGAGTTGGACGTCCAAGGGTGACATGGAGGAGATCGTGTGAGGAGGAAATGAGAGCTTCTGGGCTGTCGTGGGACCAGGTTCAAAAGATCTCAGAGAACAGAGGTCACTCATCATCATCATCATTATCAACATAGGACCAGGCATTACTGCGTAAAGGTCCGAGTTGCCACACCTCATATCAGCACATCAAGTAAAAAGGTAGTGAGGTGAAGGATGAAGATAAGTGAATGCAGTCAAAAGAAATATAAAGTATGAGAAGAAAGGAAAGAGGAGTGACAAAATAGTGAGATTCGGTATAGCGTTGTTAAGATGAGGATAATGTGTGTATACATCTGCGCCACTGACTTCGGTTCTGAGCCATATCACCTAGGGTCTCCAACCACTGGTTCCTCTTGTCCCGTGGACCCCAACCACCTAGTCTGCATCGTCCTACATGGCTTAAACCAACAGTCAGAGACTTCATACATTGGTGCCATGTTTTAGTCTGGCCACCTCGGGCCTTTTTCCAGCCTGAACCCACCTCAGCCAACATTGTGTGACGAGGCAATCGGTGACTAGGCATACGTAGTACGTGTCCCAACCATCTCAGTCGATGAAGGTTCACAACCTCGTCGACTGACTTACCTCTTCTCCCTAAAACTCTACACCTAACTTCTGCGTTACTCACATGGTGACACCACGGAATACGTCCTATACTACGAAGGCAACGGTGGTCAAATACCTGTAACCTTCTCATGTCTTCCACTTTCAATGGCCATGTTTCACAGCCATACAGTAGAACAGAGCGGACTGCTGTGCAGTACACGCGACCCTTAATAGACAAACGAATATCACGGCGGCGCCATAGGTGGCGCAAATTGGCAAAAGCCAATCGAGCCTTTTGTAACCGTGCCGAAATCTCACCGGCAACTAACCCACCGGGGTTGATCCTACTTCCCAGGTAAGTGAAGTGGTCAACACACTCAACCACAGAGGTCACTGGAGGCGTGCTACTGAAGCCCTATGTTCCACTAGGAACCCAAGGGACTAATAATAATAATAATGATCTATTTACCCAATGTTCAACTTATTCAACTCAATCAGGTCGAATTTCGATCCTGAAGTCTATAAAGTAATTACGTATACCATGTTCACTGTGTACGCTTTACTTCGATTAACATGCCTCTTCCAAACCTCTCTTGAGATACAATACATAATTTCGGTAGAATTGTAAGTTCAACTTAGCAAAATACAAGTACATTTGACTGAAGATAATCAAGTCAAAATAACTTCTGACCATTCCAGTGGAATGCCGCGAATCTTACGAAATGACATAGTATGTCAAAGCATTAGGGCTGTATGACTGACTGACATCTATTATAAAAGCAGATAAGGTTGCGTTATTAATCCATAAGCCTAAAACACTTTATTTATACACAGGAACCACCACATAAAACTTTATCTTGCTTGCTTCGTCTACAGTTTATCAGTGGTTACCTTCAAACCACTTCTAGTAAACTTATTTGTAAACCGGCCAGAAAGTCAAAGAACATCTCTTCTTATAGTTGGAGATTAAGTTACTCTTGTTGCTTGAATTTAAGCACTTAGTAGAAAGCAAGGTCAGTAATGTTAAATTTCCATTGAATAAAACACAAAACTGCTTAAAATAATACCAGCAATCATAGCATATACAATTCCACTCGAGAACCCATGAGAAACTTCCGTTAAAATAAATGAATGACTTTAGCAGCCATCCCAGCAGCTGCTGAAATAACCAGTCAGGTTACGGTATTTCGGCTGTGAAGGTAATTTCTCACAAAATAAAGAAATGAGATTGGTTATCTAAGCAGTTGTTAGGAGGGCCTTTAAAGTCACTTAAATATATCAAACTATTAAGTCAAGCCTATACTGAATCAGAGTAACTTTAGAGGCCACCTGAACAACTGTCATCCCAGTTCAAACACCCTAACCTGACTGGTTGTTTCAGTAGTTACTAGGGTGACCCTTAAAATCACTCCTGAATCAAACAGCAAGATCAGTAGTAGGGAATAACTCGAAAGGCTATTTTAGCAACAACTTAAATAACCAAGTAAACGTCTTTTCATACGAAATAAAAAACCTAAGTCACTGCATAGTAAATGGAGTCTGCTGATAGCAGAAAAATGGTAATTCACTTGTACTGATTGGTTATAAGTAACTCATCAATATCGGAGCTGTAAAATACTTCGTTCCTAAGAGAGATGTTAATCGTGTTATCACCTCGGCCACCGGGGCACGAGAGGCACCTCTTATGCAACGGGTATCAGTTTTGTTTTGGATACTTGTAATTTCCCGGTGACTCTCGTCCCCTGACGGCCTAGTGGATGGGGCTTTGGCGTTTGAAGTGGTAGGTACTTAGTTCGAGCTACAGTGGGAACAACATAAATCACTGTAGTGCATGTACATTCACCTGACTGGTCCTAAATAGGATGAAATGTGGGTCCTGGGTTCCACTGCTAGTCAACAAGCAGACATCAGGTAATGGATAAAGGTGAAAAAAATCTTCTTTATATAATTACAAGTTATAGTTCGTTGGACAGGCTTTTGTGCTAAAAAAAGATATAAGAAGATAAATAAAGACCAACTAGTTACATAACCATACGCTTACCGTTTCAGAGAGTGGAGGTACTCGTAGACGTTTCATTGCCTTTTGTCTGTCTCCTTGTTCTAACTTCTCTGTAAATATATTCTGAAAGAGCAAAATTCAATGAAACTGTGATACCAATTACAAAATTCAATATAAATAGCTGTAATCAGCCAAAGATAGGACCATATTTTTCAGTACAACCCTCCCATTACAGTTGAGTTACAAAAGAAAACCTATGAGTAGATAAACTAACAGCAGTGCTCAAACTACTGACGTACCCACTTACCTGCTTCTTTAGTATATCGAATCACTGTTCATTTGTAACAAAACCTTTTTTGTCCTGTTGAGCGGCAACATCTGTGATACATAACAGAGTGAATTTGACAACGGATAGTAGGTCCGTAATATGTCATGAGTGAAATCAGTAAATTTCGTTTCGGCAACTTGTAACGAACGAAACTTGTTTTTAAAATGTATCTCATCTTATTTTTTCTTAACCATAAATAAGGCTACAAACCCTCATATTAGAATGCTGGTGGTTTCCACATACATATACTTATGGACATTTGATAGTGCTTGTAAATCAGCTGTTTCATTCAGCATTTCAATATTTCTAAGGGGGTCGAGAAAAGTCTGTCAATTGAACTCATTATCAAAGGATATAAAACAGTGTGGTATGACTGCTTTTGTGCAAAAAAAAGGAATAAGCTTAACATGACGTATGCCTGGCAATGGTTTGTATATAACTGTATTTCTTGTCGATATTGCCAAATGTTTAAATCATATAAGATAGTAACATTTCACCTGTCGTCTATAACCAGATAATTACATAACATTATAGCAAAAGAAATTAGAAGTAGTCGAGACGTCTGTGTATCCGGTAAGTCGTGCAAGTCCTGGTGGAGGGGTCAATGATGGAACTCCTAACCGCATATCGAAAGCCAGTCTGGGTCACTTTTGGTGTCATCATGACGTTAGCCCAACCGTAAAAGGTCAGGTTAACAACCCTTTGGTGCGGGTAGTTCTACTCTACGCCTGTGAAATCTGACCTCTCAGAGCTGAGGATGTGCGACGATTCTGAGTGTTCGATCATTGTTGTCTCCGTAGAATTGCTCGTATCTGGTGGCAACACAGTGTAAATAATCCTAAGGTACGGCAGAGTGTGTTTTGGCATGGTGGAGATCGTCATTCAATAAGTGAAGTCATATGGAAACACCAGCTTCGGAGGCTTGGGCTAGTGTCACGTATGTCGTCCCAACGGCTTCCACACCGTTCATTGTTTACTTCCTCTGGGACTGAATGGAAGAGGAGGGGGGTGGCCAGCGCATAACGTGGCTTCGTGGGATAAAGGACAGTTGTATTGAGTTAGCGTTTGTTGGCGCATCACGACTCCCTGGGTGGGCTCTGACAGATCACGCAATTCAGTGTCTTGAGAAGTTATCAGATATGGCTCAGAACGGAAACCAGTGGCAGTTATGCTGTAGCTTACTTTTACCTTCGGCTGCTGAAAAGTAGTGAATTTTTTGTTTTGAATGTATCTTACTGGACTGTTTTTCTAATCATTCTATTATCATTGTGTTTTTCGTCTTTATTTATCCACTTCCCTTCGCCTTATGTCTCCAAAATAGTGTTATTTTATTTTGTGTGGCGTATTTCTTTGTGACCTTCCCGTATCAGGTTTGCGTTCTGGTGATAATAATAATAATAACGGTAGAAAAAGACAAGTCGGCTCATGATTCAGTAGAAAGATATAGCTTCTAAAACATCAAACAAATAACCCACAAGTAGGGGGCAATAACCTGTACTCCTAAACAACTACAGCTATGTGACCTCAAAGTATAACAACTGTTACATAATCCACTGATAAGACTACACATTCTTATATACGATAATAGTTCGTAAGAACAAAAGCATGAACAGGATTCAAACCACATCATGACCCTGAAAAATCAAATCAAGTTTCTTTACAAGACAGTAAATTTGTTAATTCTGATATCGTAAGTGAAATGGAGGTTTTAAAACTCCGTTGTATAACGAAAAATTCAATTTCATGTGCAAAAATTTTTAAAAATACTCGTGCTATGAGGTGCAAAATTGAAAAATTAAACTCTGATTGGACACAGCTTTTCACGTCAGAAAAAATCATTGGATTTCAGGATACAATTTCGACTAGTTCTCAGTGAAGTTATCAATGTGATGGTTATATCAATAATAAACAGTTCACAGGTAGTTTCCACTAACAGCTTACGATCGCCTTGTCATAGGTAGATAAAACTGTCGTATACATTTATACATATACAAATGTTTCAATCTGATTGAAATAATATAGCCTTATCACCCTTGACAATTTTCTTAGTTAGAAAAGCGATGACCATAGTAAAATAACAGAAAGGCAGACAAAATCAACGTAGGACCCCACAAGAAACCACATCTGTCAAAGCTGCCACATTACACAACCGCCTTCAAAGAACAGGCAGGTGGAAGAAAAGTGAAAATAAATCAGATAAACGTATGTGTTAGGAGGAAGGGTTTGCAAAATCCACACTTGGGAAAAATGTTCAAGTTACAGAAGGCATCAAAAAGTGAATACATCTCAGCCTCTGTGACAGATCTTCAGTTATTTTAGCAGGAGTCTCCTCTCAGGAGTAATAATAATTATCTGAGATAGCTGTGGTTTGCCAAAGTAGCTTTGATACTGGGTGGTGACTGAAGATGAAAGGACAACTTGGGCCACGGCGGGATCGGACGGTGGTCACTAGCTTGAACCCTGTAGTGGCCCGAATTTTCACTTCACCTTCAATCGTCGCTCAATGTCAAAAAAAGTCTACCAGACCATGGCTATCTCAGATAGTCAGAATGATAATCAATATGATGCTCCCTCTCTCTAACTCAAGTAGATTGGGGTTGGGATTGGGATGAGAAATCCTCACTCGACAGCCAGTGTCCATAAGATCAAATGATACTTAAGTGTCACGAATTCACATGGTAGTCAAGCGAAACCCCTTTGATGATTGAAGTGAAATTAAGTTCTAGTTAGTAGTCAAGTCTCATAGCTCAGTGGTAGAGCACTGGGCCGGAAACCTGGTGCTTTCTAGTTCGAATTCCACCACGGCCTAAATTTTCATTTCATCATCAATCATCATTAACAATAATAATAATAACATGATTTCATGTACTTACTAAGGAACTCAACTACTTCGATATATAATCCTAAATATCTCTGTTGCTTTGAAATCACAACGAAATGTGAGTGAGCGACAATATCCAGGCTCGTGCCCTAGGTAACTTGTGCTACCTGTTTGAGGGCTTATGCAACTAGATGTCCGAACTTCGGCAAGTGAAGTAGTGTTCAAACGTGTAACAATAGTGAACAGTCAACTACCAAATCTCACACAAAAGATAAAAATTCACTGTAACCAGGTGAACATAGATACTGGCCATCTCTTAGGCCAGTTAAAAATTGATGTTAAGTTCAAAATACTTTTAACAGCTGCAAAGTCCACCAAAAGAAGGGTAGAGACTCCACAAACCTATTGATAAATTTCCAACGATACCAAAAACATGCCCGACATTTAAAAGCTATCCGTCCGCTGAGTGAAAAGAACGTTCTTGATAAAGTGAATGACTAAAAGCTGGCTTATAACATCCTAGACCCTTCTATAATTTCACAATGCTAGAAAATACTAAGAACAGTATTACAATCATTATTTTAACAATCTTTAGCCAAAATATGTAAGAAAAATATTACTTCAGTTGTTGATTACAGTAGTCGATTTTGAAAATAGATGAAAGTCTATACCGGCTGTACTTACTGGCTTGTTTGCTTTTCATCTATACACCATAAATGAAATCATCCTACAGCATCAGCACTAAAATAAAGGTAGGTAGAAGTCACCACTTAGTATCATGTTCAAAGTTCCCCTTGGGCTACATTTCATAATTAAAAATGCACATGATCCTCCGGGGCTATCAGACGTTAGAGCACACTAGAAACGAAACCGAAACTACAGATTAACAAGTATTTATCACTATACAGTGAAACAGATTCCCACTCAAACACTAACTTAAAGCCTAGATTTCAACAAAGATGCAACAATAAAGGTGTGATTGCCTGTAAATATTTTGTTGACACCAAGTCGGAAATGAAACCCAATGTAAATTTCTAACGACTTACTTCAACTTCAGTAATGAGGTCGTCGACCTCCCTGCTAGTGTTGAAATGAGCACACTCAACTACCTGTTGCCGCCAAATCAATCCGGTGTTTCGACGAAGAAGCTGTCGATAGAGAAAACCATATCAAAATACCTCAAAATTTTAAAGTAAATAGGCATAAATCTGTTAGGTCAAATCACAAAGACGTCTTCAATGTACTTACGATTATGTCGTTCGAAAATAACTTAACATAAGTAGAAGCTTAATATAAGCTCGTTGAGGACATTTACCAAACATGATCAGATGATAATGCTCATTTTCAACAAAATAATGCCATAAATCTTGTAAAATCCTCCTCTAAAACAGACAACCTAAGAATCACACTAGTGTGTTTCAGCGAGTTACAGGACAATGATTACAAAAACAACCGTTTGGTAAGACGTATTCTAAGTATATATATATATATATATATATATATATATATATATATATATATATATATATATATATATATATATAAGGCGTGTACATTCTTCGTCATCTTTGTAATCCTTAGTGTTCTCATTAGCCCTCACTAATTCATCCTCGTAACTCTAAAATACTTTTCCCTGCCTAAAATTCACTTTCTCCATGCAGTTCCTCTTCAATTTCTACTGTGAAATGTGACGTCACAGACCAATGCACTTTTAACGCCAAACTGATACGACTCGTACAGCTACTGATGGTCTTATTGTGAACTTTTTGAGCACAAAAACTTGCAAGACAGTCTTGTACCAAAATGTTACTCTATGGCGCGAAAGGTGTATAGTCAACCTGATATTATCAACTGATTTGACATGGAAAGAGTTCAGAGGGCAGCCACTTGTATGATCCTTGAGATCGCATATATGAACTATGTACATCGACTTATATAACTGAACCTCTTCTCTTGATACCATCACAGACAGCGGCTAGATCTAATCATGCTAAACACGATTCTAAGAAATGACGTTGGACCTGATCAATCCTATCTTTGCATTCCCACTAGGTAAGAACATCTCAGAGGACATAGTCGGAAAAAACAAAAGCGAAAAACGAATATAGTCTCTGCAGAGTACTGGTTCTCACGTAAACTAATCAACTCCCGGAACCGACTCCTAGAAAAAGTGGTAGCCACGTCATCAACTGACTGGTTCAAAAGCTAACTGAAGAAGCACAGAAGTCTACTGGGAAAGGATTACTAGAGGTTGACATTCTTCTATCCTCCATCAACAAAAGTGAATCTGAGATATGCCATTTAAATGTGCAAATAGCAAAAACAAGGCTCATAGAAAAGAATATATGTACAGGTGTAAAATACTGGTCAAGAATTTAAACTTCCGTAAGGTAAAGGAACAACAACAGGCTACCTTATTAAGTGCTTTGCAACTAATTAGATAAAACGATTCTTCTAATAACGTCGCCTGGTTAACTAGTTCACTAATTACTAGCCGGTCCTCACACCGGATAAAGAGGGAAGGTTGAGCATAGGGCTAGCAACCCTACCCCAGAAAAACCAACCCAACCACTAAAAAAACTTCAAAGCACAAAGTAAATATAAAAAATAAAAACGAAATTATTCCTCTCTGGAATCGAAGAGGTGAAATGACACCAGTTGGTAAAAGCATTCGGGAAGCCAATCGGACGATGTGTCTTCGCCTTCCTCGATGAAAGTGAAAGTAAACATGGGGACATGGAATGTCCTCACAATGTTTCAACATGACTACCAAGGCTGCCCAGATTGCAAAACAGATGAGAAGATATAACATAGAAGTGCTAGGAATCTGCAAGGAATCTGCAGATGGAATGGAAGTCGACTCCACAAACTGTCAACTGCAGAGTCAATAATCTACTCCGACATTGTCACCCAGACGACAACCACAACCACACTGAGTTTTCCAGTCGCTATCATCATATCCCAAACAGTATCAAAATCTCTCAGACAATGAAAACCAATCTCCTACTCCACAATCAGGATCATGACAGCAACATTCAACTCAAAAAGAAGGAAAGTCACAATCATTCAATGCCACGACATACACCTACAAATAATGCAGATGAAGAGGAGAAGGAGAAATTCTACAGACAACTGCAATCGACACTGGACAAGACCCCACTCACCACAGTTGGCGACATCGAAACTCATTCTAATCGGTTGGGTGACATGGATGTCGAACTGGGAGCAGACAACACAGGAAGGGAACTCATCCATCATCGGTCGAGAAGCACTCAACGAAATGATGAACGAGAATGGAGAACTGTCTGCAGACTTCTGTGAATTCAACGATTCGGTGATTCGAGGTGAGGCAGTGTGTACAAACACAAGGATCAGGATATTCACAAAGCGAGCCACATGGATTTGATTTCACCAGACACCATACACCAGACACACTACACTAGAAGTCAGATCGACTTGATCTCAATGTGAATGAATTGGAGACGCAGCCTACTGGATAGGGAAGGAGATCAGATGAAGAAGGGGAGCAGATGTAGGTGGTTCACACGACTCACCATCTAGTGCAAGGAACCTGCCTTGAAAATCAAGTTGAAGCCTTCAACTGAAAGAAGCTGGTGATAGGCGACCACAGTTCAAGTTGACCACACAGAACAGAAACTGGACTCAACTGAACTGAACTGAAGGACGAAACTACAAATAATATCTTCACGTCAGTCAGTCAGTCAGTCAGTCAGTCAATCAGTCAGTCAGTCGTCAGGACAAAATGGGAGACATTAGGCAACATTGCTGAAGAAACCTGTGTGGAAGAGCACTGTAAGTCTCTGAAAGAGATGTGGAAAGGAACCGGCACAACCGTATTAGGAAGGAAGAAGAAACTATGCAGGACAGGGAATGCATCTCGACGGACACATGGAAGCTGATAGAGGAGAGGAGAGGAGAGGAGGGAGATGGTGATTGTGAAGCCGAAGATGAACCAGTGCAGTGCAGTGCGGTGCAGTACAGTGCAGGGATGAACAACGAAAAGAGGAAGTGAGTACAACGTATCAAATACTACACTGGACAGAGGAGTGAGGAAGAGTGTGCGCAAATACAAAAGATACTTCTACGACACACTGTCAAGTGAAGCAGAACAGGCTGCAGGTAGGAGGAAGGAAACCTAGTTACTAAAGAGGAGAAACAAAGGAAGCGATGGGCTGATTACTTCAAAAAGCTCTTGGATCGACCACCACCACCAGCAGCACATGCAGCTCGTCCAGGAAATACAACCAGCAACAGCACAACTACCAGTGAACACAGGCCCTCCAACAAAAGCAGAAATACTGAATGCCATAAAACTGTTGAAATCCGGGAAAGCAGTAGGACAAGATGGAGTCCCGCCAGAAGCACTAAAACAGACGCAGAGACAACAGCGGACATGCTAGCACCACTACTGCAGAAGGTTTGGAAGGCAAGAAGGAAAAGTACCAGCCCACTGAATGCAGGAAGGGCTACCTTGTCAAATTCCCAAAGAAGGGAGAACTAAGCCTTCGCAAGAACTGGCGCGGAATCATGCAACTGTCCACGCAAGATAAATATTAGGCCCATCATACTAGAGAGACTAAAAAGAAAACGGTTTTGACTCAAAATTACGAAAGGAAGAGGATGGTTGGCTGGCTTCAGGCAGAACAAATCATGTAAGGATCAAATAGCAACCCTACGCATCATAGCAGAACAGAGCATAGAATGGCAGTCAACTCTCTATCTCAACTTCAACGATTCTGAAAAGGCCTTCGACAGCGTTGACCGAGAAGTAATTTGGCAGTTGCTTCAACATTACGGAGTACTACAGGCCTTTATCAAACTCATTCAACAACTACATAACAACGCCACATGCCAAGTGATCCACAATGGAAAGCTCAGTGACGCCTTTCAAGTGGAAATGAAGATAGGAGTAAGACAAGGCTGCCACCTACTATCACCAATCATCTTCCTGATTGTGGTCAACTGCACTGAACTGGACTGAACTGCATCATGCAATAAACATCTGTGAGGAGATGTGAAAAGACAGGTATACGCTATTTGGAAGATGAAAAGAGACTAGAAGATTTGAATTTCGCCAACGATGATGATTTCTGTCTAATGTCTTGTCGCACAAACTCGAAGATCTACAGGCAAAAACCAACAAGTTGACAGAAGAAGCTAGGCAGGGCAGTGAAGGAAGATGGGACTTCAAGTGAATGTAGAGAAGATGGAGGTGGTGAAGATACCCGAATAACAACAACAACAACAACAACAACAAGCATCAATCACCATAAACGGGGAAGTGTAAAGGAAGTAATCTCCTTCACCTACACCTACCACCTAGACAGCATCGTTTCAACTACAGGCAGCACAGGCACAGATGACGATGTCAAAGGAGCCAGGATCCGAATAGCCAGACTGGCTTTCATTATTCTGAAATCAGTGTGCAGATCTACACACTGCACTGCACTGCATTGCACTGCACTGCACTCAGCATAAAGTATGATCAAGATTCGGATTTTCAATAGTAATGTTGGTCGAGTCAGTGCTTCTATATGGTTCAGAAAGTTGGTGCATCACGAAAAGCACTTCCAACAAACTACAGACATACATCATCAACATCTGCCACCCAGTCTGACTCGATGCTGAAGATCAGATGAGATGAGATTATATGGCCAGAATAATGAGAATAAGCAACAAGGAACTCTGGCTGGCTGGCTGGCTGGCTGGCTGGCTGGCAACGAAACAACGAAGCAAGAACCTATCGCCCATCAAATATCTAGCAGAAGAAGAGAGTGGGGATGAATTGGATTGGATTTGGCATACACTGAGGAAATCATACAGAGACATCACGCGCCAGGCCAGGCCAGGCCAGGTCATCGAGTGGAACCTGCATGGGAAGGGACGAGTTGGGTGTCCGAGGTGAGGGTGATATGGAGGAGATGGTGTGAGGAAGAAACGAAAGCTTGTGGGGGGCCGTGGAGCCAGGTTGAGAAGACTGGAAAGAAGAGAATGAAATGGATGCGTGCTACTAAAGCCCTATGTTCCACAAGAAACCCAGTGGAATAATAATAATAATAACCGTTCATTGATCTTTAGTCCGCTTGACGACTCATAGTTCTGCATGGCCAACATGAAATGAGTCGACATTGACCAAAGAGTAGGTAACCACTGTAAATAAACTTTCGTAAAAGGTGGGAGAGCAACTTTAACTCCAAGTCAGCACCAATGCAGATCTTACAATCAAATCACGGAAATATTGAATACCTGCTCTGACTAATACGTTAGTGATAAATAGATATCATCAACTATTACCATAAAAGCTGGTACATATGGTGCAAACATAAACCAGTAATAACAAGATATCAATACGATCATGCAAAATAAACTTGATTTTTACCTTGTCATGCTTTTTCAAGATCTTTCTGAATCCTGTGAAGTTTAATGACTGATAATTTTGAAGCAGCACAAGACTCAGATAAAATTCGCTGAAGGCAAGCTTCAAATCATGTAACTTCCGAAAAGTTTTCTTTTTCTTGCTCAACCTCGAAGTATCATACTTTGAATTCTCAGAAGATTTTGATCGACTTTGCCGACGGCGTAAATCCGAATTTTCTTCCAACTGTATTTTACTGAGTTTGCTCTGAACAGGCAAGATAACAGAACCATTCTCCCGAACTGATGTTTTGTATTTTTCAGTTTCCTTAACGAAGGATTCCGTAAGTTTTCGGGAAAGAGAACCCCTGGAACCACCAATCCAAACAGAAGACTTGTGGTGGTGAGTAGACTCTATATAGTTTTCAAGTTCATCTACTAATGTAGTGTACTTTCGATTTGCCTCAGCGATTTTCTCTAATTACTACATTAGACAAGTAAATTTTTCATACCAGAAAAAAACACTTCTATTTTCCTCAAAGCATTGTGACACAGTCTAAAAAACTCTTCATCACATTCATCCAAATAAGCGTTGCTTTCTTGAACGGAAAGGACTAAAAAAGGCATGAAGATAGGGAGCAGAATAAACTTACACGGTAGGGATTCAAGAACTTGCACATATCTGTACAGGTGTTCCTTTAGTTCCTGAAAAAATAGAGTTTAAGTATTAGGATCTACATCGTAATCTATGTATTGAGTCCTCCATTCGGGAGTAAGATGAGCATTTAGTTTCTCAGCAAACTTCATTCAATATAATGTTCGTGTTTTCAAAAGTTCAAGCATTCAAAGGAGGGGAACCAAATTCGACTTCCACTCATGCAACAAAACTTTATCACGATATCATATCACTTAATATGAGCGGTAAACATTTTTGTTGAATGTACTCTGAAATAGTAAAATATATTTGAAACTCAATCTTTTATAAAATAATAGCAAAATAGTGAAATTTAAGGATTTTTGAAATGTTTTGTTTATCTTTATAGGTTTTAGTGAAATTTTGAACGAACTACTCTACGCGCTGGACTTGTTATCACCTGTTGTCAAAATCGGAAAGGAATATTAAGTATACTTTTGTTCCAGTTATGGAGGCCGTTGATGACAGCCTTTCAATAAGTATTTTGGAAAACTCACCTGACAAGTACTTTTGTACTCTTTGTTCTCCTGTCTATTCTGTTTGCTTAAACGAAATAAATGCCTTGGAAATACATATTAGATCTGTCCACCCGGATAGTAAATGTCTTCGCTGTGTTTACTGCTCTGAGTTAGTTTCTTCAGTATCCATTTCGAAGCACATTGAAAAGCACTTCTCTTCTACAGATGTCCAAAATCTCCCTTTCATATGCCCTTGCTGTCCGAAGGCATACAGCACGATGAAAGCACTTGCTCAGCATGCTTTGGGCTTACATAATATGAATAAAAGTGATGTATTTTTTAAATGCGGCCATTGTGATGAGTTTATGGAAACACCTATGGAATTAAAATCTCATCTCAACAAATACTCTCTCATTTTGTATCACTGTTGTTTTCCTAACTGCCGTGTCAAATCCAGAAATCCAGAACTAGTCAAGCAACACGCGATGAAGTTCCATGAAACAAATAGTCCTTTGATTTTTACTTCTTATTCGGTATGTTTTTTTCTAATTCGTCTTACATTTGTTCTAGTTTATGTGCTCGTGGCCTTCTTCGGTGCGACCGACCGCTCTTCAATGCTCGTCCGGAGTCATAAAGTCAACGTGTCGCGTTCCATGTTCATTTTTCTGTGCTCATTGCTCTTTTGGTACGGTCCACTTAGAAAGCTTCGCTCAACATTTGGCAATATGTCGGACTATTTCCTCCCATCTTCTCATCACTTCCTTATCGGTCACTTGTGTTCTTCATCGTTGTTCAGAATGTGGCTGGATGACCAATGTCCGTAGTATGCTCACTGAGCATATTCAGGATATGCATCCTTTAATCTCAGAGGTTTGTCTAATTTAACGTACCTTTTTTGCAGATAGTTGGTCAAACCACTTTTTTCATAGCAGATTATTTAAGCCTTTGTTTCTTCAGTTTCAACCTCCTAGTGAGTTAGTCTTAAACTTTGCGATGCATAACTGCCTAACTGTGGTTTGAAAGTAAGGATGGCGAACAAGACTAAATTGGATTCTGGTATTTATCCACGAAAACATCCTTTTTATTAATCTGCGAAAGTTTAGTGCAATTTGTCGAAGTTGTCATTTAGTTTTAGCATTTTTTGAAAGACTGATACTATGAAGGCAAGATATCTTATGCCTTACTTCACTGTCACTGAGACGATAAAAGTAACAAAACTGTTATAAAGGCTGCCAAGCATCATGGTGAAGGTTTCCTTTTTTACCACTAGTTATATTGACCTCCAAGCTCACAAATTTGGTAGATCAATTTTAAAACCTCACAGTATCCGAGTTTATACTGGATTTTTCTGAATAAATTACTTTTTTGAGTAAATCTGTTTACATTTTGAACTCATTGTTATCTACCAGCTATTCGACGTCTCACAACCTAACGCACTGAAGCACTTTCGTGTAATCGGGTCAAAATCTTGCTTCATTTTCAACCAAGTTACACTACCGAAATGCTTAGTTTATGCAGCTTTTTGTTGTTCTCCTTGTCTAGTTCTGTTCACTGTCTTTTCTAGTTTTCTTATTGTATTTTTTTTATTTGCAAGCGAAATCATGCCTTGATTACCGTTTTGCCTAGATCTAGAAACTTTCACTATCGCCACCCCTAATATGACGTCTCATAAGTTGCAGTGTTTATTCATGATAGTGATATCTGATGTCCTACCTTGTCATGACCTTTTTTGTAATGAGTAGAAACCATGCGCTTCGGGCCACTTGGGATCTCTAGTACATTATATGTAGACATCCAAAACGATGCTGCTTTTTGGCGCGTCATGTTTTGCATTTATGGTGTCTTGTGAACTGCGACTTCCTCACCAGTATTAACTCCACGAATTCAGCCCCGTATTTTATACTATATCTGAAATCTGTCTCCGCCCTACCATGACGCCGCAACAATCATTCATCCTCCGGTTGATGTGGATGAGTATTCACTTGAGAACCAGTTTACACACTAAAGGTAACATGCCTCTCTCAATGCTTTCAAAACCCTCAGACTACAGTGTAATTTATTCGTCGTGACTGTCTTCTAAGTTCATCACTACCCACAATCTTCATCTATTAAGCTGAATATGATCACTGTGAATAATCCTTAGAAAACTATGACTAAGTCCCCGAAATATGGTTCAAGGCTCATACTAATTAGGTTTGCTGGAAATATTGTGCATTTTGACTTTCGTGGTTACAATCCAGTATGTTGAAGATAATGTTTTCTCTTCTTGCATTTACTGAGATGTAACTGCTGCCGAAACGGTGGTAATTCTTCTACTAATAAGCAACAGGTCTGTGCTGAGTACATCAGACATGACAGTGTTGGCTTTGGAGCATATTTGTCTAGTCCTGCGCACTCAGAATGTTCTCTGAGCAAATCGTGTCACTAGCCTTTTATTCAATTTTATCCCCTCTATTTATCCCATTTTTCAATAGTAACGATTATCCAGTAGGTAGATATACACGACAGCTCAGTTAACTAAACTTAGTACCAACAGATGAAAGTAGAAGACAAAGACAAGAGGGTAATTTAAATAATATCAGTAGTCGTAATACCGCAAGTAGCAACGAAGTAGGAGATACGAGGAAGAGCTATGTAAGACATTGTGATTTGGAAGATAATAAGTTACTGATATATCTTCACCACTCTGATCAATTTCAACCGGGTGGTATCAATAACTTTCATAAAACAGAGTGTGGCATATTGCCTACCACACAAACGTACACCAGATATCTGAGTGGATTTTGATTCGGATCGATTTCAAGCCATAACACGTAGTCGGTAACTGTAGATATGATTGGCTTATAAATAACACCTAAAAAACTTACACCAGTCAAGTCAACAATCGGAAGCTCAATTCTCGAAAAAAAAGCATTCATAATCGCAAGCCCGATTCTGATGGGCTGCTTTAAAGGCAACCCTAGCAACGATTGAAACACCCAATTTGGTTTCTTCATTTTGACTGAAAAGACAGATTTTCATAAAACAGAAAAATCGAATTGATTATTTCATTTGTTGCCAGGATGCCCTTTAAAGTCACTCAACTGGAGGGTTGATTTAACAAGTCTTTGGCCCATCACCCATCCACCCACAATGTGAAACTTACCAAGTATCCCACTACGTAGAGTTTTTGGCAGTAATAATTATCAGCCAGCCAATCCTGCTTGACTAACCATCGATATAATTTTGGTGCTCATAGGTTAACATTGTCTACATATCCTACTTTCCAAATCACCAGACTGTCATAATCGCATTCTTTCTGCCATAAGCAACTAATGCTCCTCATCGCCATCGGACTTAGTAATCCTATGCTGGAAAATATACGTATGTATAACTGCGTTTCACTTTGAGAGCTTTACCGAAATTGGTTTTATTATTGCAACTCAACTTCAAATTACCCGCAAAATAATAGCTGTTTAAGTCATGTTCGTGAATGTCGGCTTACTTCCTGACTAGCTCGGCATCTGCGCCACATGTCCAACAAACTTCAGTCGCTAAAGATTCACAACCTCGTCGACTGAATTGCCTTCCTTGCCTATTACCCTTTGCCTAGCCTCAACATTACTGACAGTGATTCCATTGTACAAGAAAAATGATCCAAAAACACCTATAATTAAATCCTGCAATCTACTTTCAGCGGTCGTCTTACAGCCGTTTGATAAGACAGCGAGCGGTAGCGCAGTATACTCGTTCTTTAATAGGTATTCGGTTATCCCATCGGCACCAAAAATAACGTAAATTGACGGTGCCAAACGTGAATTCTGTATCCGAGCAGAGATTTCGTCAGCTACCACCCTATTTGGGCTGATACAGCTATAAAAATAAGTGGAGTAGCCAACACATTCTACCAATTCACTCCCCATCTATCTTCAAACTGAAAACATCATCTAGCATTTAATAGGTGCAAAACGCGTGCCAAATATACTCAGATTTCTGTTCAAGACGTTCAGAAAACCTCGCATTTTTTCCGGCGTCTTCGTTTAACGGGTCAATGTCATCCGCGTACTCCAAGTCAATCAGGTGCTTTTTTAAGAGTAGGTGAATCTCTATAAAGTCGGAGTTACTTAGGAGTATGTTTATTAGTGGGTTTACAACGAGGTTAAACAAGGACAGTGATTTCGAAACATAGATAGATTTCGACCTAAGGTAGCGTCTGCGTACTCCAACTCAACCACACCTTCCAGGCAGCGGATCAGTCCTTGTGATGCCAGAAATATCTAAGTTTATATACATTAGTACATCTATTATGAAGTCAAACAAGAAAGGTAACAGCAGCCATTCCTGGTGGAAACCACTTGTCATCGTCAATTTACAAGACAACCCTCCGAAAGCCCTTACATGGCTGCGTGAGTTAGAGTAGAGAGCTTTGACTAGCGTTACATGATTGCTCACTACTCTGTCACAAAACCCCATGGTCTATGTCGACTTCAGGTCAAGAAGTATGGGAAGTGTCTGAAACATGTGTAGTTCTCTCAAGCTTCGCTTACGCGTCGGATACCTGTGGACCCCTGGAATGATATTAGTCAAACTAATTCCCCTATGGTCGTTACAAGAAGACTTCTCTACCTTCTTATACACTGGAATGCCCAGTGAAGTACACCAATTTGACAGGACTACCTATGATTTCCTACACTACCTAGTACGTCCGTCACTCTTATCAGTAATTTACTACCTTGAAAATTCCTGGTGGCACGTCCTGCTGCTTTGCATCGGTTCAGGTTCGATACGGCTTCAAGGAGAACTGGAGGACCGACATCTAAGTTCCCTTCAGGTTGGATGTTGGGCAACTGAAGCGTTGCTGTGGACCAGTTGTACTGTGCCTCAAAGTATTCCACCAAACGCTCCAGCCGCCTGTAGTGGGAGATTATTGGCGTCTTATCCGATTCGGTGGTGGTTACACTAACCACCATTTTCTTTTTGCTAGCATCACTAGTCAGCCTAAATAGTTTCCGGCTGCTAACCAGCGCTGATGCCTTTTCCCTTGCTCTCACAGATGCTCACAATCATTGAGGGGATTCTTGGTTAATTTATGTCTAGTTTGCTTCCACTCTCCAATGTAGTCAGAGCCGGTTTAAATCAGTCTTTTCCAATCGGTCAGTTTCGATACCACTGTGGAAGTCGAGTAACGTTTGCTAACCATCGAGTGTAGGTTATCGATCGGCTTTACAGCTGTTTCTACAGCAGACTTAATACCACACCAAGTTCATCCAGGACGAGCACTGATGTCATATTGAGATAAGTGCTTAGCTATTTCCTCCCTAAATTCGGATTTGACGCTTTCATCTTCCGACCGAACACAGAGAGGCCTTGCTGCTAACTGTATAAGACTGCATTTCTCCTTATGGTTGAAGTTAGTGCTGACCAGAAACAGGTGATTATCGGAAAACAACTGCACAGACAATCATCCTTGTCGATTCGTTAGCCATAGATTCCGTAGATATCCACAAGATGTCTTCCCGATTGGCTAAGTTGTCCTACTTGAGCGTTAAAGCCGCATGCTTTTTGAATATATCTGAACGTTTTACTTTCTTTAACGAAATCGACAGTTTTTGATAGAATTCATCATTTGCCTCATCCGCACTAGAGTCGGTGGGTGGGTAGGTGGAGACTACGAAAAGGTATCGGCTAGTTTCACGATACTTTCTTTTTCTTACAGATCCATTCAGTCAAATAGCACATAGGTTATTGACTGGTATTCAGTCAAGAAGTGTGCATACTGCTCTACAACTTCAAGCAATGCGTACACCAGCAAGTCTAGGAGAGCTAGCCATTGGATCTCCATAGACTCGTAATGTGGATTTTGAAGATTCACCGCAGTGGCATGGTGAGGTCAAGTTAGTAGTCATGCTCGCACCCTGCATACGTGTCTCAGAAACACAGCATACAGTCATGGCTCGAGATACTTGCTGTCCAACTCGGCATAGGGTTCGAAAGTTGAAGGATCCAATGTGAGACCGATAACTAGGTCCTAGGAGAATAAAAGTGGTGTTACGATCCAATGGCTAGCTCTCCTAGACTTGCTGGTGTACGCATTGCTTGAAGTTGTAGAGCAGTATGCACCCTTTATCACATGGCTAAAAATCGGTCGCAATCGCGTTGATTATTTATTCACTCTGACGTCTTCTAAAGCTTGAATGCTTTGACTAACCTTCATTTTTAAATTCCTTTTCATCTTATAAACCATTGCTTTGATATTATTCTTTTTCTATACACCTGTCTTTGTATACTACCATGAAGTGTGGCAACTTGGACCGATGCACATGTTTACAGGATTCCGCGTTGATTTTGTCTGTCTGATTGACATGAACACCTATCTTATTATTATTATTATTATTATTATTATTATTATTATTATTATTATTATTATTATTATTATTACTGTTTCTGGGTATTGCACGGATGTATACGTGTTTACTGTGTTTCATTCCAATTTTGTTTAATATTCTTGTAAGCAATAGCAGTCAAGGAGGAAGTATTATCCCTATTATCTCCCTCGGAAAACAAATGCACCCATAAATTTTGTGAAGTTTCGTACAGTAAGCCACGAGCCACACCTATTGTGTAAGGGCTAGTGACACTATCTAGTTGCCTAAACCTCGGTAGGAGAGGCAGGGCTCGAACCCGTCACCCATTGGTTAAAAGTTATCTCCCTAAACCAATGAGCTGCAGCTCCATTATCACCTCACCGTGATGTCGCATCTGAATTTATCATCTCGATATCTCATCGCCTAAATATTTGATGTAAGGTAGTAATGACTACAGGTGATCAGTTACTATAACTTCTACTTCCTGACTTATGAATCTCGATTACATCATCCTGAGATGTGCATCAAACGGATGCTCTGATAACCAAGACTTTTCACATTTCGAACCATTCCAGTGAATATCAGTTCCGAATACAAGTTGCATATGCTTGGCACTATCACAAAGGTAGGTGTACTATCATTTTTCAAATGCAACTAGCACCGGGACTTCAAAATTACAACGACTTCATGGTTGTGTAGCTAGTTGAGAAAAACAATCAAGCAACCACAGTGGCATGCAGAACATCGTCGTGGGGGTCCCTACCAACAACAAAATGCTAGATATCATTACTTCTTTGATTGAAGCACAGTAGGAAAGCTATAGGTAGTATATTAACAATGGCTTAGCGTAACTCATTGTTATAAACCTAGAAAGTATTGCTAAGCCTAATACCCTCCCAGAGGAAAAACTGTAGAAACACATCTGTACAACCACATTAAGTACAGGATTTCTGCATAAGGCACTGCTAGTCGCAAAGAAATCTTAAGATAAACCATCCAAACGTCTATAACGGTACTGTCAAGTTTATTACCTAGACATAGATGAATCTAAAGAATGTGGTAAGTTGTCCTATTCAACAATGATGGTGCCCAAATGAAAATTAGTTTTATGTCGGTTCATTTCAACGGTAACTAAAATCAATAAAAAAACTTCAGCTCTGCGATTCAAGTTTATATCTATCACGGATTGACATCAGTTAGAGAACCATTGAAAGCTTTGAGAGCACTGGACAGCCTTTTCGTCCTAGTAACAGACCCCTCAGCAGTGTTCACCTGTGACCTCGCTAGGGATCAAACCTAGGACCTTCAGGTTTCATGGCCAGCGAGTTACCATTGAGTCAAAGTTCAACTGAAATCGGTAGTTTGTCCTGAATCTTATTGTAAGGATGCTTTAGCTCATTAATGCACTGAAGTATATAGCATATAAACGATAAATTTCTCACATCTGTAAAGGATAGTGCTCGCTCTAATTTCCTGTTTTTCTGTCGACTTCTGTAGTTGTTTTCCTACTTACTGTTCACTGCCTGAGTGCATGTATTTATTCATTTTTAAATCGCACCACTAAAATTTATGCATTAAGATTATGTAGGGAGAAAAATCAACCGTTACGAATTCATTGACTCGTGTTCTCTTCATGATATGCTTTAGTTTCTGTAGACAAAGTGGCTAAAGAGATACTTCGTTTGACCAAGTTAATCAACACTAGTTTGTCTGAAGTTCTAATGATTACATTGCTCACATTTAATTGCAGGGTTCATTTAATATTATCTTCCTTCTTTTCAGGAGGATGGAGTAATCACAGAAGACTTCACAGTCCCTATATCAGATGAGTCTATCACTGAAAATTATAACTTCATCAGCAAAAATATGGAGAATTTACGCAACTCCCCACTTCAACAACTACCTAACTTCTTCTCATCTGGGAATTCAACTTTCCTCCATAATAACAATGGTATCACCTTACGTAATGAACTCCCATTACTTTGCCCAGCCTCATCAAATCTGTCAGCTGAAGTTGCTAAGCACCTGTCAAATATTCATGGACCATCGTCAATCGATAGTTGTGAAGTTGATGAAGTTGGAGATGGGGAAGACCACACTGGTGTTGAAGGCGATAACGATGAAGTGAAAAATCTAAGTAAAGATAATGATGCGAACAGCAGGGTTGTGAACTCCACTCTATCTAATGATGTGTCTGCTACTGATTCTAAATCCGATAACGTTACGGAAGCAACTGCTGAGGAGTATGTTCAGTTGTACTTCAATGAACAAGCATTTGTGACTGCGTATATGAAAAATGAAAAGTTTAATAATCCTAATAATGATACTGAAAATGAGGAACTGTCCAGTGTCCTAGAGAAATTACGTCGGTTCGCTAGCTATCGTGTCCCCATTCTTGGTCGTGCAAACCAACGTCGTGTTGCTGGCTGTCCCGAATGCCTTAAACCGTTTAATCATGGATTTACTGATCTCAAGAAACATCTTCTCGTAACTCATCTTGGTGTTCGTCGTGACATATCTCGCTTTACCATTGATTTCACTCACTCCAGTAGAAACCATAGTAGTGGGATTGCAAGTCAGTCTAAAGACCCACGAAATAATCTAAGTGCTTCTCCCCAGGTGAAACATCCCTTTGGAATTCGAAATGGACGTCTTTCTAGTAAGGCGTTCCGTCGAAAACCTTTTCCAATATTATCGCTTTCTAGCCCTCTCTCTAAACGCCCCAATACAGGTAAATATGATGATTCTCAAAAATCACCAACAGAACCACTAGCCACTGTTTCTTCCGACGGTCTTCCAACTTTAGTGACTCCTGGCTCCTCCTATTCTGGTGGTGCTCCAGTGCATCGTGTTATTCCCGGGACAGGTGTTTCTGATCATTACGAAGATATGCGGTCACTGGAAGAAGTTTCCGCCCAAGCACCCATAGGTAGAGGTGGTATTATTCCTCTTGATGAAATGGGTAATCCAATCGTTGCCGCTGTTGTGGCTGCAGGTCAGCCCCAGGCGTCCACTTACTCAGGTGGAACAGAAATCTTCCTTCCGAAAGTGGGACGTCAACGCATTCAGTTGGCATACTCCTTCCCTGTATTTAACCGTTTACTGGAAGCTTATCAAGTCCCAATGCCGGAGAGGATTCAGCTTGTAAATCGCATGAATCACTATGCTCGATTGCATGTGATAATGGATGTTTTAGTTCCTGGAGGAGCGCAAAAACGTTTTTCTTGCCCGACATGTATGTATACTTCAGTGCACTCATTAGCTGATATTCGTAAACATATTATGGGTTCTCATTGTGGCATTTCTACTAAACGATTTAGACTTTGTCTTCGAGCTTCAAGACATGATACAACAACATATCGGTTGCATTCAGATGACAGAATGATTCGCTTTGTTGAAGATCATAGACGGCGACAAATACAACTAACCGATGCAAGGTCAAATTTAAAAGTCGTTCATACTGACAGTGATGCTGAAGAAATAAGAGAAGAGTCAAATGAAACATATTCACAGTTGATCAATGATGAAAACAGTCACTATACAAATGATTTACCTAGATCTCAGACTTCACTTAATGATCAAGAAGAACTTGAAACACAAACTATTGAAACTGATCTGTATGATGATAGCCATCAGGAAGGAATACAAGGCGCAGATGAGGAAAGTGATAATCGTTTTCTAACCGCTAATGTAAACATTAATTCTGATGAAAATTTTCTCACTCCATTCAAAATTCTGGACAATAGTAATCCAATAACAAATGACAATAGTCCAGATGAAAATACAAAACAAACTGAAGAGTTTCATCGCCGCATTGAACTACCCTTCTCTGATAATGTGTTACGTGTTTTACTGGAACGTGAAGGAATGCTAGATCAGTATGATGATTTAGTAGCTAAAATGCAAATCTACTCTAAACACCATCTTACTGTTGTTTCACGAGGAAATAGAATTTATTCATATATTTGTATATGTGGACGTCGTTTTGCAGTAAGTTGAATTTGTTGTTATCACAAATCTATATTGTAATTTAGAGTAAATTCCACGTGATTATAAACTTGATTTCTTTTATTTCTTGTATAATTCGTAGTACTAACGTCAGTATCATCAATTAATTTTGATTGTCTATACTCTCTTTCTTATTTTATAGGTTGTACGCGATGAAATAGAAAGCGATATTAGACCAGCAAGCCTAGCAGATTGTAGACGTCATATTCTGGGAGTTCATGCTCGTATTCCTCAAGAACTATTAACTTTATGCTGTCAAGCATCCCGTATTTCTAAAGAGTCTGGATATAAACTGTACGCTGATACTTCTCTTTTGGCATTAGCTGAACAACACAAATTCCGGAGCACCAGGATTCAAAGCTACAGTCGTAAACCAGAGGGTGGAATATCTCCTATAAAGCGTCCTTTGGAAGCTGTTTCATCCAATGATTCAGAAGGAATTCCAGATACATATGTATCCACCACTTCATCCAATACAATCACTTCACGACCTAGCATATCTTACTCAAGTATGAGCTTCAGTCATTCTGCACCTAGCCAAATCGCTCTACACCATTCATCCTCATATTCTGCAAACCATCCTTTACCGCCCATGTTACGTGCTCCAGCCGTCAAATACGAACCAAATGATTCGGGAGAGTCTCCACCCCGCGACTGTGATAGATTGAATGGTAAAGTACCCAATATTGACTCTTCTAAAAGGTCTCCTGAACCGAATCCATATGCATTTGAAGAACGGCATAGTGGTCTAGACTTAGAAGCACCTCGTCGTGTACTTACTTCTGAAGAATCTGCGATGTGGAGTCAGAAGTTGGGTTTACCCACTGCATGGACTTTGGAAAGGATTGTTAGACTACTTTATAGTCCTGCAGTTTTTGATCATCAAGTGAGATCTCTCCTACCTGAAGGTGATAGCTTCATTGCTAGTTTACATGAACGCATGAAAGTGTATGCCAGACATTCAGTATACATCACTCGATTGAGAGAAGCTCCCAATCCTACTCAACGCATTTACGTTTGCTGTGCCTGCTTAACTACATCTCATCATGGTTTCGGAGATGTAAGAAAGCATATACTAGGTGTTCATGCCCATGTTCCAGAACGTTTTAAGTCTGCAGCAATGTGCTCCAGTAGACTGAATAGAGATGATTATTTTTTGTATACTGACAGTCAACTTATACAGCTAGCGAATACACCTGGACGCAACGCAAGTTTATCAGCATTAGGAGCTCTGTCGAACAAAACTCTATCACCTCTGAATCATAGCCCAGCATCTCAAAAACTTCGCCAAAACGATTCCGACTATCTATCTCCTCAAAATACCCCAAAGAGAAAAAGACGTTATTCTGGTACTGAAAATGACTCCGTTGACCTTGGCATTAAATCAGAGCCTTCTAGTCAATTTTTACCTGATGAGTGTACAACACAAACTACTCATCAAAATGGACATGCTGCATTTTCTCCCGATTTACCTGGAAAATCTTACGATGATCTTGATGAACATCGTCCCCCAATCATTCTTACTATACCCCGTCCTAAAACTTTCCATCCATCTGATCAACCAGATGACTTACCTCCTCGATTCTCCTCCTCTATGAATAATGTTGTAGAAAAGCCGGTTGATGAGTATTTAACTGCTGATGGTGTTTATTCATCATCCGGTTCCCGTAGTAGACGTTCAATGATACTTAAATCAAAACGGCCGTGTCCAACATCAACGTAAACTGATTCATTTATATTCTTTATCTTCAGTATGAATCGTACTGAATTTTGCTTACTACTGTTGCCACTGTCAAGTGACAAATCTTCTCTTGTACATATTTATATAAATATACATATTATCTTATTAGCTATTATTTGTAAAACAAACTGTAACACAAAATGAATACCTCCAATCATAAAATTTCAATCTAAATTGTCTAGCTATCTAATTTATTTGTATGGCAAAAAATGTTTCATAGCCTTTTTCCTAAGTTTACCTTTTTATTTAGTGGCATATTGTTTTGTAATGTGTTCTCAACAACAGCCTAAACCGATGCTTGTTGTTGTATTTACATCTTTTGATATTAAGTAGTTCGTGAGTATATATATATGGCAATATCCCTGTTCAGTAAAGATTTCAAAAGAGATTGGGAGAACAACGAAATGTGAAATATATATATATATATATATGCTTCTCAGCGTTATTGTTTTTCTCCGTTATTAACAGTATATCGTAACTTTTTCTTCTACACCATATTCTGATCTGAATGTAGCCCCTTTCCTTCTATCTGTCTATTATTGACTGTCTTCACAAGTACGCCTTTTTAATTACTGACAATTCTTTTGTTCCACTTATACATTTACATACAATTACCCGAATATGATATGATATATATGCTTAATATGACATTCCAATCTACACTTATTTCTAATATGTACATTTTTGAGTAAACATGTTCGTGTATAATGGATGATGAAGTTGATGATAATGCCTCTACTCAGACAGAAATTGTTAATTTTTCTCTTTTTTTTGTGATTGTTTTGCGATTTGATTAATTAGACTTTCTTTTTTGTTTTTGTTTTCGTGAAATGCAAGTTCGTCTTTCGAGTAATTCATTCATCGGACAATTGTATAAAAGGTATTCTCGGTTAATAGTTAAATGCGACGTTGTATGAAGCAGTAAATTCGGGTAAATGCGAATATTATAAAAGGGTCAACTTTTGGTTTCATTATTTGCTGCACGTCATCGGTCTATAGTGCTTGAAGTGATGTTTAAAATAACCTGTCATCTCCAACAGTTCAATACCTTTTTAGACACTGTTTGGCACTTTCAGTTATCATACAGACGCCATTCGCTTGTTGTTTTAGGAGAAAAACATTATTACATCAAGTGTTCTGTAGTAAAGGCAGCTGGCAACCTACATCCAATGGTTAGCATATGTCAATGGATTTTTGTAACATCATCCGAACTGTTAGATGTGAGAAGACTCATCCCAGCTGCCTCCGACCATTATGCAGAGCGAAAACCGCTGAAAAGTGAGTTGACTAGGGGTTTTCGCAATGATCGGCATCAGTGGTGGGTAGGGGGAGCGAGAGAGATAGAGAAGGCATCAGAATTAGGTCATACCCAACAACTATTTGGGTTCATTAGGGATACCGCTAAGAAGTAAAGGATGGTTAGTGAAACCATCACCGAAAAGGATGGGATCCTAATAACCTTCCAGGATAGTCTGCTGGGTGGAACACTTTGGATCTCATTTCAACTGACCCACAGCAACATTTCAGTTGTTTGGTATTCAGGTCGAACTTGAATAGGACGTAGATGTTTGTTCTCTAACTCTCCCCGAAGTTGAGAAGACTGTTTCAGACCTGAAACGGTGCAAAGCAGTTGGATCTAGCAGTTTGCCACCATATATTTTTTTATGGGCGTAGGTAGGAAATTACCGATTGAACTAACGGAGGTCCTAGGTATTGTCTCTAGACCGGTCTGTTTGGGTGATCTTTCCAGCGTGTAAGAAGGGAGAGAAGTCTTCTTGTAACAACCATAGGGGAATTATTTTGACTAATATCGTGTCCAGAATCCAAAGGTATACGACTCGTAAGTGGGGCTGAAAAACAGCATCCACGTTTCAGACCTAGAGGAGGGTGCATCGACTAGATTCTTACCCTTCGACAGATATTGAAACAGGCATACTTAACGCCGGCCGATACTTGTGGATGGATGAACTTCCTGCCACCATTTCATAGTATTTTAACCTACGACACTTCGAATAAACATTTTTTTAAAGTGTGATCAATCAGTTTATTCCTGTTTGATAAATACTTGGAAGGTGCTTTCTGTTTGATTTAGTCTGTCCCTCTGGTGTGCTATTGCTTAGTTGTTGTAATCTATTTTGTCGTATATTCCTACATCCTTGTTATGGAGTGTTTGGATAGCGCACCCGACTCAGCTTCTTATCCAAACGTAGTTGTTTTACATACTTCAAGTACTTTATTTACACTTATATCTATACATTTCGGCCTTGTAATGCATTATAAGTAAGATAACAGTTTTCAAATTTTCATCTAGTATGTTGTGTAATCCTGGAAATATTAGGAAATTGAATAAACTTGCAAATGAATTGAAAAAGTTATCTGTTAGATTTGCTGTCAGACAGTTCTCTTGATGCCTTATAGTATTTAACTTCTTTCGACATCATGATTACCAGACATCTGTAAATTAGTAAACACCATGGTTATGGTCCCTCGTGATGTAAACAAGACTGAATCATTGGAAAACACTAGTTTTTCCAGCTAAGTTACTCAAAACAAAATCACTTCCCAACCAGGTTAAAAATGGTTATTACCTAATACACCCGTTTTGTCTTCTTCTATGGATATACAGTTCTATTGGATAAAAAAAAGTAAATGACCTCGACAAGATGCAGTTAACTAATCATTTCTACCAGCCTACAGTCCATGCCTGTTTGAAGGGATCGCTTACAGTCTAAAATATATCAGAATCAGCTAAGGGTTTAAGTCACTGTTTCTCGAACAGCTGTTCATTGTCCTATCAGCTGACTTATTAGGACGTATTGTTAATCAAACTTTGTTTCAATCACCACCTGTCGTCTAATTGCAAGGCAGATGGTTGTTCACAATCCCACCTCTGCCTAGATTTTCTGATTCATCAAGGTTAAATTAGAGAGTTACTGGTTTATTTATATTTTCATTACACATTTTACTCTGAATTGTTACAACTAGACTTCACCAACTCTTGAAGCTGCATAATCAAGACTGCCAATATGTTATCCAGAAACCTGCAATCTTATTTTTGATCATATTACAACTTTTTCAAACTATTTTCTTTGAACTCTTTTCGATCAATCACTTTTCGAGTATCTATCATTTTTATTTTTCGCTTAATTCGGTACTAGATTACGTTTTAGAACTAGTTTTCTTCTCCTTTTTTCTTCAGTTGATATGCATATTCATGAATCAATGAAATGATCCTAACGGCGGTCTGAAATTTCAACCAATGCACCATTATGAACTTGAATCAATTCTATTTCTTTCTTTCTCTCTATGCCTCTCTCTCTCTCTCTTTATCACGCATGCATATCTTTCTAGTGGATTTGTATTCACGTACGCCCACGTATATTTGCGAACAATTGGTGTACTCATATTAGTTGGTTAGCTAGTTATTACCACTGTATTTACTTACTGCAAGCATGTAATTTGACCTGGTCGATTTTCTCGCTCAGCTTGAGCCGAAAAACAACTAAGACGACGCTAGTCTTGAATAAGCCCGCATCAGTCAGTCAAATTTTATGGGGTATAAGTGCACAATCAGTATTACTATCAACTTTGTTTTCTTCAATCGATTGTATCAATTGACTGATGTACTGGAATATACTATTGACAGTCACATTGAAAATACACAGAAACAAATTGTCGACAGTGTATATGCATCTATAATGTACAACTCACAAAAATATGACAGTCGTCAACAACATTGAAATTGAGACTATCCTATCGTTTCGAGTGTGTTTAGTGCATTAGTTCAGATGAAAAGTGGTCTGGTGCATTTGATTACCGCCTGAAAATTGTTTCACATAACTTTGTTTTACATATTGTGATTTCAATTCGCCTTTAAGTGTGTACACTCGTGTCAAGATTGTATATAGTTTAAAAGTACCTGGTCTACCTTTCCTATCATTTTTTACTAAACTTTTATTCTTCTTGGTCATTCTTTCTACAAATGGTAGCTTCCTCACCAGTTGGTTGTCTTGAATAATTACAAACATGGAAGAAGATTTTCATGGTCAACTTAACTGGCTTTTCCTTTAGGCTGATGTTGAAAATGACAGGAACAATGCTTTGTAAGGCTGTTGTCGTATAATTGCATACTTGATCAGGATCTAGGCTCAGTGGAAGTAAATCTTTGTTGAAAAGTATTGAGTTGAGTCCCCTCTTTCTTTATTCGCTACCATTTAAAGATGATACTATGCTTAATTCACTTCTCTGAAATATATCTACATCTTAATGAGACTACTTGACATAGTTGCGGTCCATCAGCTAGCGTTATTGATGATTGGAGATGACATTCAAAAGCATCGGTCTACGTGTTACCGGCCTGGTGCTCTACCAACTCAGCTATGACACCCAGCTGTTAGTCAGGCCTTAACATTATCTCAATCATAGAGGCTTTTGTCTAAAAGTTATATGAATCCGTGGTATGTCACTGTCTACTCAGATTAATCAGACAGCTCCTCTGGTTCCAATCCACATCAAGACGAACAAAAGAGGGGGAGCATCGCATTGATCATCAACGAAACTATCTGGGAAAGCAGTGTTTCTGCAGACTGATTTAGGTTGAGAGGGCTCGGTTGGGCAGTTAGTCTAGTTACAATGAACTGTTAGGGACGTATCAAATTGAAACTAAGATATGGTCAGCAAGTGAGTTGGTAGAGCACCTAATCGTTAACCCGAAGGCTCTTGGGTCGAGTCCTGCTGTGACACAGGTCTTCATTTTGCCTTCAATCATCACCCACTATGAATAAGAGTGTAAATTGGATCAAAATAAATAAGTTTAATTATTAACGGCTTCGTCTGACAAAACTTGATATTTTTTCAGTATCACCTGTGAGTTAATTTTCTTCTCAACTGTTTCAAATAATTGCATTACTTCACAAGTCCTTGTAAAACTATAGCTTAGGGGTCTAGGTAACTGACTTTCAATCAGTGGGTCACAGATTCGAGGCCCACCCAACCTATCAAGGTGTGGGCAGCCCTCACACAATATAGGTGTGACTCACTGCCTACTACATGAATGTGTACGTGGCTGGTGACACCACTTCAGTTTCCTGGTACAGCGGTGATGATGGTTTCTGGTATGACTTTGAAAGGTTGCCAACTAGAACCTTAGCTCTCTCTGACCATCTACAACGGGCCACAAATATTCCCCATAATTACAAATGAGTATGCTGGATCAGGAACAAACAGTTGCGGAAAGACACTTTCAACAAAATTGGTGATTGCCAAAACAGTTCACAAAAGAAAGGATCTACTGGAAAGTCAGTGTGACTGGAGCACGCTAAGTCAATAAAAAGTTGATATAAAATCATAATTAGCGTAATTTTCTAATCCCGTGCCATTTTAGAGAATCGACCGAAAACCCTTTTCGCATAAATCGAATTTCAATACCACCCTTATTTCCTACACAAACAGAACAGGCCCATAGTTGTATGCGGGTTCTTGAATATAAAATACAAAACCCTGTAACATTTCTATAGATCAGTAATTTAGTTGTACAGGTGGAGTGATTCTAAGGGCCAAGCTGACGTACACTGAAACAGTTAGATTTCTCTCAATAACCAACTTCATGTAGTCCAGTCCTAGGTACTGATCGAGTTCAATCGTTTTCCTTGTTCCTGTTCTTTCGTGAATAGATTTCCCTCATCATCTTCTGTTGGTTTCATCTGTGTCGATATCTTCCCAGATAGATGCCTATTTGATTTAATGTTTTCAGGTCTCTCTCTGTGTCTCTCCTACCTGCAGCCTGTTCTGCTTCACTTACCAGTGTGTCGTATAAGTATCTTTTGTATTTGCGCACACTCTTCCTCACTCCTTTGTCCAGTGTAGTATTTGATACGTTGTACTCACTTCCCATTTTCGTTGTTCATCCCTGCACTGTACTGCACCGCACTGCACTGCACTGGTTCATCTTCTGCTTCACAATCACC